GGCCCGTCCGCCGATCTCGGCATTTGGGGCGTCGGCCCGAGGGATGCTTAAGTGGAGGCCCGGCGGCCAGCAGGGCCCTCGATTGTCGCGTACACAATGTGTCCACATCCACCGCTTCGGAGTCATGCTCTGGGATCTCGAGGAGCGGTGCACGTGGATATCTGCCCGCACGTATTGGCGGGCAGATATCCGTAGCCACCTCGACAGTGGGCATGAGCATATTCTGGCGGCGCATCGCGGCGCTGCTCGCCAGGCTGGCCTTGGGGATCTGGCTCGGGGCTCCCGATCCCTGGGCCGACCCACCCACCCGAGCCCGAGCCCGAGTCCGAGCCTGAGCCCGTGCCTTCTCGCCCGCTGCACCCAGCACAAGTGCCGCCCCGCGCCCGAGCGGCCCCACGGGTGCGGGCGTCCGCTCCCTCCCTAGCACTGTGGCCTGCGCGCCCCGATTTGCCCCCGCCCCCCCACCCCCCTCGGAGAGAGGGGAGGCGATACCACCACCACCAGGGGGCCCACCTCCAGCGAGAAGGTCCACATGCCTCCCCGAGCTGGAGGCTGGGGATGTCTCGAGCGAGAGGGGGGACCATACCACCAGGGAGAACCCCCCCCTCGCCTCCTCGAATCTCCTCGCCCTGGTGGTGGGTGGTGTTGGTGTCGCCTTTCCTTGTTCCTGCCCCCCGGCGGCCCCCTGCAGAGGCCGCGCACCAAAGGTCACCCCCCTTTGCCCCTCGGGATCCGGGCGCTGCAGTGTTTCCACAACGGGGCGTCTCCGCCCAGCTTTGGGCCCCGGGACCCTTACAGCTCGATCCGGCTCGAAAAGCCACGCGGGCAGATGGGGCCCAGGGCTTTAGGCGTGGTTTTTTTTTGCGATGCTGCTGCTGTCCTGTGCAACGTCAGATTGTAGGGGCCCGTGTCACTCGTGCGTGGTTAGCCGAGATCGGGCCTGGCCAGCCTGGATTGGTAGCGATCTGGGATGCGATCGGGATCGATCGTCGGCATCGCGACGGATGAGCATCTAAGGTTCAGCGCGGGCAACATATTCGACATCGTGGCGACGGAGATCGAGCAACAGTTGGAGCTCGAACAGGGGCACGAGAGCGATCTGGAGCCTGGCCGGCCTTTCGTACAGCGCCGAATCTGGAGACCAGAGTACCCGACCCCGTTTGTATGGAGGATCTTTCGAGCTTGCTCCCCCCCCCGCGACGGGGCGGCCACACGCCTGGGGGCCCATCGTGATCCTTGTGCTTCTATTGCCGCGGCAATATCTTGGGAGGTCCCCTCACCGCGGCCAGAGCGCGACCGTGAGCAGGAAGAGCACCGTTCACTTGCCCACGTCTGGGTTGGCCACGGCGGCGCGAAGAAAGCCGCAATTCGCGCTTCGTGGCCCAGGCTGGGTGGCTGCTCTTCCCCATGGGGCGGCGGAAGGGCGAGCGGCACAGAACGAAGCGCGCAGCTGGGGTGGCGTGCACTCGGCACGTTGGATCAGAAGTCGGACCTCGGCGGAGTCCCTGGGCGCCCCAGAAAATTCAAACTCTTGCGAGACAGTGTGCCCCAATCTTTCTTACAGCAAGGTGTCTCGTTTATCGTAGGTATTTGTTGACACCACTTCCACGAAGCTGTATACACCAGACGAGGCCAGCCTGGGTGAGGGCGGGATACAAATTGGTGTGACCGCACGCGTTGCCAGCGATCAGCCCTCGTGCGGCTGGGCGCGATGGCCATCAGCATGTGTACCCAGCGCTTGGCTTGCGCATTTTCTGCCGCGTGTGATCGCTCGCGGGAATTTTTCCGGTCGATGTTCACCATGTTGGGGATGCTGTGGTCGGCGTTTCGAAGGAATGAGCTGATCTTGGCCCGATGTGGGGCCCCAGAGGGCCCCCAAACTCTCGTGTTGCCCGCTCTCACTTCTCCGAGCAGTGCCGAAACTGAGAACGTACTCCCGCGCGTGCTCCCAGCGGTGTGTGTGTGTGTGCCGCCCATCGCCAGCGCAGTGACTCTGCCTAGCTGCAGACGGAACAAAAACGTATATGTGTGTGTTTTTGTACGTTTAAACACACCGCACCCGACGCGCGCCTCTCGCCCCCGCGGCTGCGCGCCTCGCCTCTGGGATGCTGCAAGGAGACGGCGAGGATGGCGGCGGCGGCGGCGCCCGCAGCGGCGGTTGATTGCGGTGGCCGCGCTTCGGATGCTTTCGTGGGCGCTTCTGGAGGTCTCGTCGCCCCCGGGTCGCGTCCAATTGCCCATGGCGCCTTGGAGGAGGATCTGTGGATCTTGGCCAGGGGAAGTGTGCTGGACCGGGCTGGACTGGACTAGTCGCGCTCGTGAGCAGTCCGTTGTCTTCTGGGCCGCTGAGCGCGCAACCTATGGAGCAACCAATGGCAGGCCGTTGCATTCTCGGCCGCCAAATGCGAAATCCATGGCGCAATCAATGGCAGGCAATTGTATTGTTGGCCGCCGAGAGCGCAACCTGTGGCCCAACCCGCGGATTGCGCAACCTACGGCGTACGGAGCAACCCATGGCGCATGCGTAAACGACGGCGTAACCCACGCATCGCGTAACCTGTCGCGCAACCCAGTGATGGTGCAGCCCCAGGCCGTTCCTACGGGCTGCGCCCGATTGATGCTCGCCGGTTGGGTTGGCGGTGAGGCCCTCTAGCGGCGAGCTGTCTTATGATTTTTTATCATCTGACTGTAACGGGTATCACCGGCGCTGGGAGGGGAGGGAGCCAGCAACGTCACATTTTGCGTTGTGGCCGTGTGGAACGGAGCTACGTCGCGACTGGTGCCGCATGCCATGAAACAACACAACATACCATTTCGAAGGCCCGCACGATTCCTTGGATCGGCGCTGGACCCACCCCCTGGCGGTGCCTCCTGCGCCGCCACTGGCGCGCTCCGCGCTCCGAGGGAGGGGGTCCCAGCGCCGATCCAAGAAATCCGCGCGGACCTCCGAAAATGTGTGCTTACTATATATGATGGAAGAAAAATCTCGGGGAGGCTTGTCCAAGGGCGGTTGTCTGGAGGGGTTGTCCAGATCCCCGCTGAGTTGTCCAAGGGGTTGTTCGGGGTAGGTCGTCTTATCGTCATCCATCAACATGGATTTTCCAGATTGTCCGAGTGGTTGCCCGGGGCTTTGTTTTGATCGGCTTATTTTCCATTGATCATCGTCCGCCGCTCTGGCTCCTCTGTATATCACCAGCCTGGCGAAGGCATGCCGTTGCGACCAACGTAGGGAGCAGGGTGCCCCGCTCCTCGGGCGCTGCAGACTGGCCCGCGCCCTCGAGTCGTCGAGACGGTTGACTTCTCTTCCTCGGCGGAAGGCTGGCGGAGATGATTACGGTCGGACCGAGGTATTGAGATCGAGGTCGGGTCGGGGCGGGTGCCCTAATGTTCTTCGTGCTTGTTGGATGTTCTTATGCATCCTGGGGGAGGGTGCCCTCGAATGTTCTGCAGTTTGGCCGACGGGGGGTCTCATGCTCTTGAAGAATGTTTTTTGTCTGTCCTAGGTCCGACCGTAACTATGGTTGCGGGCTTCCCCACATTCTGGGCTTTAATTGGGTCGCGGGCCCACGGTGGACAACGAAGCAGCATGGAAATGGAAGGACCAGAACGATGAGAGATACGCTTGTGCCTCGTCTTCGTGGCGCCTCCGCCTCACCTTCCCCTCGTAACGGTACTGGCGCGGTCTGGCGCTGCCTGCTTGGACGGCATTTGTGGGGCTGGTGGAGTGCGAAGAGCACGATGCTACACCGCCCAAGAGGGACCCAAGACGGCCCCAAGAGGGCCCCAAGGCAGCTCAAGAGGGCCCCACGTGGGCAGAAGAGGGCTTCCAAGACGGCCCAATCAGCCCCCCAAGAGGGGCCCAAGATGGGGAAGCCGAAGAGGGCCCAGGTGAGGGAGTGTACGGACATGGGCGGGGGCCGCTGTAGGAACGCCCCAATTGGTGTGAGGCACGATCTGTGTGATGGATGTGGTGAAATTGGCAGGGGGGTGCTGTATTTTAGGATCGGCCCCACTGGAGACGTAGGTGGCGTTACCTGTGATGCACGATGCGTGTAAGGTTGAGTGCCGAAGTGGGCGGGGATCGTGATAGGAACGCCTTCTCTAAGGGCTGTAGGTGGAGCTCCCTGTGGGGCATGATCCGTGTGCGAGTATTTGCGGACATGAACATGCGGTCAGCACCAGGCGGCGTAGCAGCAGCGGCGGGAAGACGAGGAGGGGGGCGCCTGGCGGGAATGAGGAAGGGCACGTGCGTACAGAGGGTCCAGCAGCACAGGAAGGTTTGGAGTGACGCTTCCCCGATTCCCAGATCTGTGATGTTGGAGCTGTCCTCGAAGATCTCGGCGAGCCGGAGGTCCCTACAACCGCACTTGGCGGCCAGAGATCTCGATCAGGGATCGTAATCGGAACCACTGCTGCTGCTGGGGAGTTGTTCTCAGAGGCGGCCGGCTTTCCTGAGCTTGGGGCCTTTGGAGGCAAGTGCTGGCCCTCGGAGCCTACATCGGAGCGCACCTACCTTGACGCCCGAAATGGGTACGGGAAACATCGATTTCGATGCCCAACAGAAAATGTTGTCCAAAACCGACATCGAATCTTGTCCAGAATGAGCAGCAACTGCTGTTTGACTTTGTACCCATCAGTTCGTACCCATTTCGGTCCCCCCGCACCTGACGGGGCTCAGCCCTGACGGGGTTCAGTCCATCCCCTCTGATCCTCTTTGGCAGCCTCGGGTCTGGGAGCCATGTGAGCCCGCCCCCCCCCATCCCCTCCCTCCGCTGACCCAGGTTTGGGAGCTTCTTCATGGCCGGCCCGGCAAAACCAGCCCCCGACCACAAGCCAGGCCCACGGCCTGAGGCTTCGTGTTTGCGAGTGTGGAGCCGAGCGGTCCAAAGCCCAACGCAGCGTAAGACCCAGGACATGGGAGGTCCGCATGCGGCCCCCCTCCACGCCAACCCTCACGGGGGGGGGTCGCGGCGAAGCCCCGCCCTCGGCAGGGAGCTAGGGGAGGTCGGAGGGCCCCGCGAGGAGCAGACGGCCGTGGCCAAGCCTGGGCACGCCGTCAAGGGCACGCTCGAGTGGCAGGTCGTCTTCGAGGGGTTCGTCCGAGTGCGGAGCAGCGCCGGCACCTCGGGCAACAACACGGTGGGGAAGAAGGGCCCACAGGGCGCCATCGTCGTGGGCAAGGCGAGGCCTGGTGGGTGTGCCGCCCCCCCCGTTCAGATCGGCCGCTGGTCGGGGCAAGCGGGGAGAGGGGCAGGCGGAAGGGGGAGGAAGAGCAGGAGGAGGACCAGAGTAAGCAGGAGCATCCCGCATCGATCTTTCGGGCGAGCCTCCGGGCTGTCCACGCCTGCGATCCGAAGCTTTTGGATCTAAGTTGGTGTGCTTGCAGCCGCGCGCGCCGCCGTGCGGCCCACCCTTCGCGCTCGGGACACTCGCGCGGCTGCGACATCGTCGCCTGTCCAGGCGCCACCCTCCCTGCTGCAGGAGGCCCGAGAGGGCTGTGGAGTCGGCTCCCAAGGACCCCGCGGCGCCGATCATGAATTGCGTTCCTGGCCAGCGTGTCCCCTTCCAAGCTTGAGAAGCTCAATCGGCCAGCGGAGCGAGCAGGAGATGCGGCCGTTGGCCATGGCCGTCGCTCACACCCTCAAGTGCGAGTTCTCGACGGCGGTGGACATGCCAGCGCAGCAGTGCAGACTCATCGATCAGGCCCACGCCGACGGCGGCAACCGGAGGGCGGCGAGGCACCTCGGCATGTTGCCCGACATCCGCGCGTCCGTAATGGATGGCAACGAGAAGGACCGCCCACCATTCCTGGGGCAAGACGGCCGACCTCGGCCACGCAGAAGCCCGCAGATCACCTCGGAGTTCTGGCTGCCGCCGATCGCTGCCGAGCCCGCCGAAGAGCTGGAGCACGTGAGCGGAGCCCAGTCATGCTGCGAGCTGCCGTTCGCCTTCGCCTGCGGGCCCAGCGCGCGAGTCCAAGGGCCAGGGGCGCGTTTGCTTCGAGAGCCCCGCCCAGGCGAGCGCCCTTCGAGCCGCCGAGCCCAGCCGATGAAGTGCGAGATGCCGACGAGCCAGGCGCCTCGCCGCCGCGAGGGGACTCGACCCCGCCTGGCAGCCCGCGGCCAAGGCACCGAGGCCGCGACCCATGCGAAGAGAACGAGGGCGATCCAGATCGCAGCCCCCCAGGGCGGCCCAGGCCGCACTTCCATGGAATGCGCAAGCGGGGGCACGACCAGCGAAGGGCCACGAAGGCGCCGCGCTGAAGAGCACCCGCGGGTTTTCTTGGGGGGGGGGAGGGGGGGGGGGGGCAGAGGGCGCGGCGAGACAGGGGCGAAGGGCCGCGGGACGCCCCGTGGCGGCGGCGGCAAGTCAGGTCATGCCCTCGGGCGAGTTCGGCCGCCCCGCGGGCGGCCAGGGCCCAAGTTTGAGGGGGCGACCCTCAGCGCGAGCCCCTGCCAGGCATGGGGCTCAGGGCTGGCGGTCAGGGCGGTCGTCTTTGGCCGTCTCTCGTTCGAGCAGGTCGGCCAGGGTGAGCATTCTGGCCTGCTGACGCTGCTGCTGGACGGCATGCGGCAGATGTGGCAGACAGCAGACGCTCAGGAGAAGCTCGCGGCTCGCCAGCTCTTCTTGCTGCACGGCGACCTCCCTGAGCTGGCCGAGCCGTGGCTGCGCTGGCTCGCCTTCCTTGAGCAGCGCTGCTTCCGCCGTGTGCTGACTTACGGCGGCGAGACTGACACTGTGAAGGATACTGCAGCCATCGTCTGGCTGGAGTGTGAACTGTGCGGGCAAAAATGTAATGGGGAAAAGGGGTTAGCGAATCACAAACATGCTGTTCATAAAGTCTATGCAAACCCAGAGCCCGAAGCCCTCACAGAGACGGACCTGAAACAAAAGACATGCCCTCACTGCCTGGAGACCTTCACGAGGAAAGACACCCTGCTCAGACACATTAAACAGAAACGATGCCTGTCCCGTCCCAGCGGAGTTGCGGCTCAAGCCATATTCTCAGAACTACCTGATCCAGCTGGCCCCTCCGTTGGATCTGTCCCAGAGGCCGCGCGCGATGTTCCAGCCGATAGGCGAGGTGCAGGCGGTGACGGGCAGCAAAGGGCACAAGAGGACGGCGGCCGAGGCAGGGGTCGCGGCCGAGGGCAAGGGCGCGCAGCATGACGTGGTGGGCCCATTGGCCAAGGCGCTCGCGCGCCTGGTTCTGCAGCACGAGGACATGGCGCGCTCGGCTCACAGGGACGACAATTTCGTGATCCCACTGAAACAGGCACAGAAGATGGCGATTGCGCTGGACCAGGCCCTGTCGCACTACGAGGAGGAGGGCACCAAGGCCAAGGAGAAGGCCAAGGATAAGCAGGAGGACTACATGGGCAACCCGCTCGGCAAGAGGCCCGACGCGCTGGCGAGGGCGGTCCTGTTCCGCGTGGCGGAGGCCGTGGAGGGCAAGAAGGACGCCGTGCTGGCGGCCGTGGAGCAGGGCATCGAACCGCAGGCCACCAAGACGGCGCTGGACGAGATCATCAAGTTCGGCAAGTTGGTGCAGGACCCGCAGATCAAGTTCGTGGCTACGAGGTGCTTCAAGGTGAAGGCCAAGGCGGACGAGGAGGGCGGCGAGCTCTCGGAATGCAAGTGGATATTCGCGATCAACCACTATCCGTCGCTGAAGGAGTCGTTGAAGATGGTTCGGCTCAACGGCGCCCTGGCCGCGGTCGGCATCAGCCTGCAGTACGACATCGCGACACGCTCGAAGGCGGCCAAAGAGGTCGAGGCGCTGGCGTTCAAGACGGGCAAGGGCGGCGCACAGGCGGCAAAGGGCAAGAAGCCGAGGAAGCAGTAGGCGAGGGTGCTGCGCCATCAGCACCGACGGCAGCAAGGATGCAAGCGCCTACGCCAGCGCCGACACCAGCAATTACCCGTGAGCTGGGAGGCTTTGCCACTGCCGCCGAGAGCCTCCACTCCTCACTCCCCTTTACCTCCCCTTTCGACCTCCCCCTCCCCCTCCCGACCTCTCAGACACAGCTCGAAACGTATTTTCAAAGGGGGCCACGCTAAACTGCGGGGGGCCCCTGCGCCTTGCCCCTCACCAGAGGGGGAGGGGGAAGCCGTCCTCGCAGGTGCCACTCCCACAGGGGTGGGGGTGCGCGGGTGCGGGGCTGGGGGCCACCGTGCTCTCCGCTCGCGCCCGCTGTCCGTTTCAGGGCCTCGATCGACCTCGATCGCGCCGCGTCGTTTTCTCGGTAGTTGCTGGTGCCCCCGCAAAACTTCCTGGGCCAAGGGGAGTCGCGTTGAAAAAAAGAGGTAGAAACCATCCCGAGGCGGCAAGGCTTCTTGTTTCAAGGTTTTTGTTGTCTCGAGCCCGCCATCTATCGGGGGCGGGCCCAGGGGCCCCCAGGCCGCGGCCGCGACCGCGGACGTGGGCCCCGGAGGCCGCGCCCTCCCGTGGGGGCCCCACATGGCCCCCGAGCGCGATCAAACAGCCGCTCAGGCGGCCCAAGATCGCCGCCAGGCAGCTTCTCATGATGGCCTCCATTGGGCCTCAGACATGTCAGGAGGCGTTTCAAACGGCCCCAAGGGGACCCCCCCGAATGCTCGTACGGCCGCCCTCGCTCGCTCGAGACAAGTGCGCCTCCCAGGCAGAGCAGAAGCGAATGGTTGCCCAACCAGGTGCTCGCGCTGGCTGGCTTCGCTGTGACGGTGGGCGGCACGCCCGTGGTCGTGGCGCTGCTGACCAGCTCCAACGGCCTGCTGCGCCCGCGCTGCGTCATGCTTACGGCGTCTCAGTGCGCGTGCGACTTTAGAAATGGCACGCGCCATCTCAACTTGGGGCCGACAAAGGGTGGCAAGCGAGCTGGGATGTGTAGCCGAGCGCCTCGTTGTCGACGAGCTCGAGGGCGTTCGGCTTCCCGGCCTGGTGCTCGCTGGCCAGCCTGCAGACTCCGAGCTTTTTCCCCCATGGGCCCTAGTCCGGAGCCCACTCTGCCAGTCAATGGCTGCGTTGGACTGGCGTCCTGGCCGCACTGACGGCGTGCCGATGCGCTCGTCCTTCTCATCCCAACCTCTGTGCCCAAGTGGGCGCTCTCGTGATGCGCGGCCGCGGAGGTGGTGAGCAGGGGGTGGGGCCAAGGGGCCCTCGAGGGGCTCTGAGGGCAGACGCGCCACGGGCGCGCGCGCGAAGAGGAGGAACACCCAAACCCCGCGTCGATACTTAGTGCGAGTCTCCTGGCTCTCCGCAAGCTTCTGCGCCACCATCCTGCCCCGGCAGCCCTAGCCGTCTTCTAAGCCGATGGCCCCGGCCAGCCAGCTCCATCGCAGAGGCGGGGCCGCTGGCCGCGCCCAAAGACGTGGCGCTCTGGCCGGTTTAACGGCGCGCCGACGCAGTCTCCGTTCCTCGCTTCGCCCCCGTGCCAGAGGAGGGGGGAGAGAGCCCCCGGGGGCGTCCCAGGGCCTCGTGACCGGGAGCCTCGAGACGGGAAGCTCACTGCAAACGGGGGTCAACCAGAGCGCTGGTTCTTGCAGGATCCTGCAGCGCCGGGGTTGCACTGACCCAGGCTGGCGCACAGGATCTTGCAGGATCCTACAGCATCTCGCAGGACCCTGCGCGGCATGACGGACCAGGGCTTGCATCGACCCGGGTTGGTGCGCCTCCGACCCGAGGGTTGGCGCGCCACGGGCGCGCGCCCTTGCCGCAGCTCGACCGCCAGCCGCGCGGCGCTGACCGCCGTGGCGCCCCTTGACAGAGAAGAGCGCCGCTGCGGTCCCAGGGGCAGGAGGGGGGGGGCAAGCGAAGGAGGACTATGGTGGGGGCTTTCTTTAAGGCATGTGCCTCGGAGGCTGCAGGCCCTGGTGTATTCCTTATATGATGAGGGCGGCGGTGATATCCATGGCCGATCCTGGGTTGGACTTCCACCAGCGTTCAGACCCTGGATTCCTCATCGAAGGGTCATTGAGATCTTGCCAGCGCTTGACGCTTGGGCGGTTCTCGGACGATCCGCAGAAATCTGCGAGAACCTGATGGCGTCTGGGAGAATTCGGAAGAGTCTGGAAGAATCTGGAAGAATCCAGATTCCCTGGAGGATCTCGGGTGCAGGAGGGGCCCGCCTTCTCGTCGAAAAGGGCGCGCCGCGTCATCGCGGCGTCATTCCGACGCAGCTTGGCGCCACTCGGGGGCCATA